TGTTCCCAAAAGTTTGTATCTGGTGCTTGTGAAAAGCTGGTACTTACCTCCCTCACCGAATAAGTTCATGGAAAGTGGAAAACTTTGCAAGATTATGTTCACATAACAAATCTGTCACTAGTAGATACGAAGCAGGCTTCTTGGCGTAACTAATGCATGGAATGCAAGAGCAGTTTACACGCAGTTGCTTATGCTTCGCATGAGCAGCCAGCTGCCCATTTGTCGAGTATAGACGCAGCCTCATATAGCCATAGCGCGGATGCAGTGAAGCTCGCGTTACAGTCGACTCATGCAACTATGGAATGTTTATTTGACTTTGTCAAAAAATGCTCTGTTGTCCGTGCTTTTCATGCTTCATTCCTGCGTAACAAAGGCATGAACTGAAATTAAACAAGAAAAAAACCCAGGTAGAATCAATAAATCGATAACCAATAAATGTGAGCAAGCAACGGCAATAGTTTATTACGGTGGGTGACAAGTACACACAGCAAAACTGAAGTGAATTAGGCGTGATTCATAGCAGTGACAAATCAATAAGTGAGGTTAGTTAATGAAGATGAGGCATAAATCGCTATTTTAGGAGTCTCGACGAGCACACCTCACAGTCAGTGCACGCATTAGGGTTAAAGTTCAGTGAGGACACACCAGTGCTTGAATGGTGGCTTGAGGTTAGGCAGCTCCTTGCAACCTTAACTCAGTGTGAACTCACTGATGTTAGTGAGTGAAATTCAAACAAAAATATAGGAATGATAAAATAACCGAAGAAAGCAGTTGGGTGAGCATTTACTGCTGAACACGGTGAACCTGGACTTATCGCAGGTATCACCTGTGAAAAAGGTAAAAAGCAAAACTGAATAGTAAGGTGCCAAGAGCATGCCCGTTTTGCCAAGCCATTGCCACACTTCTACCTGATCGTTTTTCGATTTCTTTTCTCATCCTTAGGTAAGCTTTTTTGCAGGTACCCTCTACAATATCACTAAAGCTAACGCACAAGTCGTTAGTGTTTTGTTATCTTAGCACTCAATATTCCAACTGTGGGCGATGCCAGAATGGCAAATTTTGACGCGAGCGCCTGCAAAATGTAGTTGTCGGCTCCGAAAAACTTTTTGAGTATTTTGAAGTAGAATATGCTGCTCAGCTTAATATAAACGGCAATGAATGGGAAAACCACGAAAAAATAGCCGACGCGACGCAACCGCGCGCGTCAGAATCTGCTAGGCAGCCCATCCGCCCTCTATTGAAAAATCAAGTTCTGGTTTTCAGAACTTTCTACAGGAATAGTATTGATATTACGCAAATGTTCCATGTAAAACAACATCCTAACGAGGTCTTCGTACTGGCAGACGCCCTCGCATTCTGTTATTTCCAAAAGGGCGACGATTGAATGGAATTCGATTGCGTGTGTTTGTACGGCTGCGATTAAAAGACATGTTACGACCACGTGAAGTCGTAGAAGCGCTACCGCTACGAACCACTGGTACCGGTACTGGTGCTGGTGCTGGTGGTGGAGGTGGAGGTGGAGCCGCGGTCGCTGCTGGTAGGGCTGGAATACGGTCGCCACCGAATACTCTATTGGTGTCCATTTTGAATTGCTTCACTGGTGGTGGCGGAGTCGGCAGCGGTTTCTGGTAGTTCTCAATACCGTTCTTCGACACTCGACACGGCGGAATCGGTGGCGATAGCACGGATTTCACCCAGAACATCGTCTGATGTCTAACTACGGTAGCTCTGAAAATTGGAAATTCTTCTCAGATACGAGACATTGTAAAAGGATAAATTAAACCATATTTTGATGGAATAGTGAGCCGCTATAAGTTAGTGGCCTGATTTTACCTCTGTTCTTCCTAAAATATTAAAGCAACAACCCCAGATCAAACTGCTGAGGTAATAGGGGCAATGAAATTGTGGAACGGAAATTGGATGATGATTGCTTGAGCGAAAATGGAAAAGGTAGCAAAGCAAACCGACAATAAAGCCCCAAATTTAGGGCTCCCTCTGTTTCCTTTCACAGTGAGGGAGGAGCGTGTGGGGACGAGTTGTGGGACTTGTGTCTCCATGGCTCCACATACCCGCGCGTATTTCACCCTGCCACTACTTCGGAATCCACATTGCGTGTATTGGGTTGTGCGGAAGTATCTCATCCGTTACCTCACAGTAGTCGTTATCAGTTCATTTTGATTGGCTCTAGTGCCATTGCCGCACTCTCTCTAGCCGTGACAAATACATAACTGTGATACTCGCAGTATACCCTGCCGCAGAATAGATTGCTCAACGCTACCTTATCTGGGGTTGTTGCTTTGAAAAGGAATAAATAATAAAACGGTATATAGGATGTGAAATAAGGAAAGGTATGCCTTCTACAGAAGGACGGCGGGCCCCCAAGGAAGCGAGAGTAGGCTTGCATTGCGCCAAAGGGCTCGCTCATCGCACTTGGAAAACCTCAATCCTGTCAAACGCTATCGACCGCGGCCCAGCCCGTATCCTCCACATTTCCTCTTTATTTTGTAAGGGCATTTCATGTTGGGGCAAACCTAACTTTTGTTTTCCATGTCATGCGTTCAATGAAAGGATGACATTCGTTGGCGTGATACCGGCTCTCGGGACAAGCATGTGCAGACGAGCTACGAGCCAGCAGGAGACATCCACTTTTATTATCAACCGCTGTCACCTCACCGATACGACCCGGGGTTGTTGTTTCGAATGCAGGGCAATAGATGCTAACTTACAAGCCCGGGATGAAAAAAGGAAGGAAAATCATTCCTCTAGCACCGCTTGAGCGACACTCTCACTGCGGTTCTCACCTAACTATCTCCCGTAAAGTATTGTTCAATGGCCGATCGCGAAATGCGTTCGCTTGCCGTCGGGAATAAGAAATCAACAATGGGGACGTGAAATATGTTATCCGTAGACAAGCTATGGAAAAAACTTACACAAACTGTACGGTCCTGCTGTCCTCGTCAATCTTCCACCACAGTCGTATATGTTTCTTCTTCTCGTCATGAGAATGTGTAGCAGAGTTTTTGAATCTTGGAAACGGTAACTAGTCGAAATCTCGTGAACAATTCAGCACTGGAAAATACTACCTGAAACACTGCTGCTGCCAAGAGCCGTTGTCATCAAGGCGCATCAGCTGTCCCATTCTGAAAATAAGCTTTTCCAAAGACTTAGAACTTCCGGAACCGTGTCTGACTGAACCTTTTTGATTGCACTCAAGTTGAAGGAGGGCTTTACTATAAGGACGAAGCTCGAAGAAGAGAAAACTTACCTAGTGGAAAGACAGGCGGACCTCCTAAGGGTGCGGACCAACACGCAATTCGCATCAAAGGACATGCCCCAGCATCTAGCATGGCCTTCCTTTCGGCCCAAGTGGCACCCTATTGACTGGTACGCTCCACCTATCGCGTCGTCTCGTGTCTGAGTCTCTTGCCGTTCAGCAGAGAGAGAACGTTAGCGTTGAAGAGGGCAGCACCGATGAGAGTCGCATCAATGCGCAAATCAACGGGCAAGGAAGTGGTCCCATTTCTCGGGTTCTGGCCATTTTCTCGGTTTTTCCTTCTTTCCTGCACCACTGACCATTTCTAACTTAATTTCTAATGGGCTGCCTTTTCATCGAAAATTCCGCCTTGAAGGAAGCAACCCTAGGTAAGTTATGATACAGACTTGGTTCAGATCACTGATCAGGGTGTGATATTTTCTACAAGGTTCACACATTGTTGGTTGTGTTAATGATTTCAGTGTGTGTTTGTCTGTCTGTCTGTCTGTCTGTCTGTCTGTCTGTCTGTCTGTCTGTCTGTCTGTCTGTCTGTCTGTCTGTCTGTCTGTCTGTCTGTCTGTCTGTCTGTATATTTTACGTCTGAATGGATTACGCGGCAGTTTTACGACATTTGAGATCTGATGGCGCGCCGTGAGGACTTGAATGGCTCCCTCAGACAAGATCTCTTGCACAGCGTGACTCAAAACGGAATACTGGCTTTGCTTCACATCTTAAACCAACGAAAAGAGGTATTTCAAACAATGCTATCCCCGTATCATGCTATTCCAGTACTTCTGGTTTGGGGGTACATGGTACGGTGAAAAAAGGAGCCGCTACCACTTACTTAGTAAGTGGATGAAACCCTTTGTCCAATCCTGCGTATGTTAGCCAAACTTCTGGACTACGTAATTATTAGTCATTAAAATTAAAATCCGTAGGTACCACACAAAATCCATCTTTATTTCAAAAAAAGTCGTAATCCAAGGGTCAGGTGTAGTACGATTCTGTTTTGAAGGGTTACACACTCTCAAATTTGTGCGGACCGTAAAGGACGTACACAGACCTCCTAGAAGCATATCTCGTCGGTAACCCACGTGAAGTGTAAGGGATGGGAGGGATAGGTGAGCGGGACAAAAAATCGTACTACAAAGGTCGTGCTTGGGAAATGCGACTTGAAAGAGTCAGCTACTATGTCCATTTCAAGGGCGAGCTTTCAAGGTATAGCACAGAAACGGTCTATGGCAGAACCCCATTGGCAAATGAGCGCGCAGGCAAATACGGTGCGTATCCAATCCTTCCTCCAATGGACGTATCTCTGCTGTCGATGCAATCCTAGGGCCCTTAAGGCATACCTTTGTCCGAGTACTTGCGTTGTCCCATTCAAAAAGGTTGGATAAGAAGCCTTTGTACCAAACAGTATCATTCAGCCCTTGAAGGTGCACTGAAATAAAAGTGAAGCAGATTATGTTATTCGACCAATTGGTGATTGTACATAGAACACAAGAAGATTTCCAGTGTGTCTTAGGAATATTGCGCTTGAGGAGCCAATGTTATCATTTAAGCTCGACAGAAACTCACAGGTAACAGGCTGGTTCCTCCAGTAGCACTTCTGATCTACTTTAATCTCGTACGGTGGTGGAGTTAGCTGAAACGAAAATATCAATTTTGAGTTCTGAAGTCGGTGTGGTCCTGTTATTCTGAATTTCAGATCACTTCGCATCATGGACTTTCATTAGAAAGCCATTCTGCAGACGATACCAATCAACGCAGAGCTTGGTCATGCTGTATAAGGCAAAACACAGTTGTGGAGCGCAGGCATGATGAGCATCCTTTCGTAACGAACTTCAAACTATAGGCTCAGGCTATGGTAGCTGGTAGCAATATTCACGAACAGTGAGTAGGCAAGCAGAATTATGCAACTCCTGACACTCCAACAGATAAAATGGTACTTAAAGGCAGTGATCACGATGGCAGAAGCGCGGTGCGGTTTTGATGACATCATTAGTGGGATGGACCGTTCACCTGTTGAAGGGTGTGGTTGGTCTCCTCCTACGGCCCTTCCCCCGAATGACTATAAACGCCGACACCGCTCTTTCAGCTGCCGATCTTTGCCGTTCAATCCCGTCGTGCGAGCGAAAATACAAGAGTAAACGCAGAAAAAGCCCAAGCGCGAAATATAATGAACTAAAACTATTGTTTTAAGAGTGCCACCTTTTCTTTTGTGCCTCTATGAAGATGCATTAATTGGACTCAGCGCCCGCATCATGGTGGAATTCATGGCCCAAATAAGAACTTTACAATTTGTTCTGTTAGCAAATAGTTGAAAGTCGAAGCGAGCTCCGTGGTCAATAAAGCAAGTCGTACCGCAGGGTAGTGATCAGTGTGCGCAGCTTCGTATAACTTTTAAGTTCTCAACTCCCAATACATTCGCTGAGGCGTTAGATCTTCTCTTCATTATTGCATGCGGTGCAAACGCAATCCATTAATTGTAAAAGATGATGGAGTACTATCACCCTAAAAACATATCCCGAAACCTGTTCGACTTTCTACGAACAGAGAATGGAGCTTAACAATCCCAAGATGCTACCAGTTCATCATGGGCCGACAACAAAGTAAACCCCACTCTTTGACCGATTGGATTTCGAAGCACGAGAAGTTGGAGAAAACTGGTTGGAGAAGAAGCAGCCGGTGGGACCCGTATGCCTCTACGGTGCGGCTGCACTTCTGTACGAGTGCGGCTTGCAATTGTTCGAGTGTTGTCCCAACTGGACTAAAACATAAAGCGCAAGCGGTGAGGTGGCAAAGTGGCACGCTTACCATGCGCGCAATCCGAGGAATCATGGGTCGTGCTTCGGCCAGGCTAACCAAGCCTTCCATCCCTCCGGGGTCAGTTTATTGGTAGCAGACTTGTCGAAAAGATGAAAGAAACACTGACTTGTGCATCGGCTGCTCCACAAGCCAATTGCAGTAGCACACGCAATTCAACCGCCGGCTACAAAGCACAAGTTGAAGTAGAATGAGTGCCTCATTCCAAAAAAAGATTGATCAACGGCAAAAGCTGAATAAAAGAGGCGACCTGGGAGACAACTTTCGGAGCTAAGAAGGCTGCAGATGTACCGTTCACGGAGGTGGTTCCGCTGCCATAAGCCCCAAAACGGATAGGCCTGTCGACACGTAATCGAAAAACGTGGCGAAGTATTCTTTATTTTGGCAGTGGTCCCCACTAACCATGCAGAAAGTCTAGCAAAACTCTCCAAGCTCTTTATGGGACATATGACCCGCCTGGCGTTAACACGTTGACGACAATGCGAGTTTTGGCTTTTTTGGCCACGTGGGACCGGGCGATTTTGCGGGCGCGCTGCCGCCTCAGGTCGTTCAAGCAGATTTTGAGTGATAAATACATAAATAATGATCAATACAAAACCAGATCAGTAAATTGTAATGAGCACAACCTACCAGGGGTACAGTAGTGGAATTTCGATCGAAAGACATGGAATAACAATGAAAAGCGAAATTTGTCAGAATTAGCTACAAAAGACCTCAAATTAAGTTTACGTTGATTATTTGAATAAAACACACATATTGTCATCCCTTAGCTTCCGTGTCTACTTCTACTACTATTTGAGTCTTCGCATTCATGAATCAAAATAAAGAAAATTTATTAAACTGAAGATTTCGCATGGTTCAGAAATCCCCCTCTGAATTAAAGCATACGTGGCCATTCTGTAGGGCCACTATTTTTGTAGCTGCGTCAAGTCTCTTCCATGGAATAAATACAAGAAACTTCTGAAGAAACTGGGCGTGCGCAAAAAAAAATGAGTGTAATGGGTGCGGGTGATATATATCCCGCACGGTCCGACATGGCCTG